ATTTTATGTATTCGCAACCTCACAATCATTACTTTATCTTCAAAACACATTCAGAATTAGATCAAGTATTATTTCTTTCATTTCCCTTCCCTAATCCATCATCAACTCCTTCCTGAAGCATTGTAAGAGTCTCCTAAGAAATCTTGGTTCCTTTCTTGTCTCTCTAACAGAGTAGCTGGAACGATCCTTTAAAATCATAAATTAATGTTTAGTCTGCACTCCAAAGTCTTCCAAAGTGCCACATGTTCACTTAGTAAATCTGAACTCTTTACCATTTTCTATAAGCATGTAGACTTGATTCTTTGGCCTCAGGGTCTGAAACTCCCCAGCTCATGCACTCTATCCCAGGTAGTGTGGCTTCCTGGCTGCCCTCCTCCTTCCTACCTCAGAGCCTTTGGACTGCCTGTTTCATCTGCCTACAGTGCTTTTCAAATGTTTGCTCAAAGATCACTGACCACCTTATTTAAAGTTGCAACCTATCTCCATATTCTCTAAACCTTGCCTTTTAAACCTTTGTCTTTGAAAGCAGCACCGAGAACTAGTGTCCAGATCCCTGGCTCAACACATAGAGACTGTGCCTCTGCGAGGACCCATCTGCCCAGGATGGCCGGTGAGGCTGTGAATGTGTACAATGTGTTTGTATGTGTTCGTGTATGTGTTTATCTATCCCACATCTATAATTTATTTACAATATTATTTTCTCTCCAGAATAGAAGATCCCTGTTGGCAGGGTAGTTTTCTCCATGCCCCCCCACCCCCAAATGTCCTATTTTCAGTTCTTTATACCTAGCACACAATAGAAACTTAAAAAATGTAAATTGGCTGAGAAAATTTAAAAATAAAGCACATAGAATGATGGAGTGAAGTAAAAACCCCGACCCCTGTGTCAGTTTCAGTTAATTTGCTCTAACATTAACTTATATTCAGTGATAACTCTAGGGGAGGATTAAGAGGGTCCTTTTTTCACTGTTCTCCTAAGACCCCCCTGAAATGTTACCACCCACCATGAAGCGCAGTTACTATGTGCTCAGTCAGGGATCTGGAAATACGTCCCCCATGCTTCTTTTACAGGTGAGCTTTCAAGGTCTGGGAGCTCATTTATTGAGAGAAGAAAGCAGAGATAGGAGGCTAGGAATCATGCTCCGGGGATTTATTAAAATCCTGCTTCCTGGACCAGCATTTGTAAAGATTCCCCTTTAATTGAAGCTGCTGAACAGAGGACCTAAGGCATTGTGATCAGGTAGGAGACAGAAGAGTGCCCCCGAGGACAGGTGTCTGGCTCACTGTGGACCCCGGGGACACTGGAACAGGCACTACAGGTTCTCTGCTGGGCTCTCTTCCTGCTTCTTCACGCTTGGGTTTTCCCTGTTTTTCAGCTTTTCCTCCAGCGGCCAGTAGGAGTGGAAACCTTTTTAAAGCCTGAGCATTGACTGTGTTCTGAAAACTGCTTCAAAGCTAGAAAATTTCAGAGAGTGAGAAGATTGGAGAGGCAGCTCCTCTGTACTCCCCCCCTGAGAGAGACAGCTGCTTGTTCTCAGAAGTGTGGACCATTCAGAAATCAAGCGGTCTACAGCCCTGGTCCTTCTCTGTGAGGGTCTGCGGAGCCAGAAGAATGGAACATTGTTGATCTCAAATGCGTTCTCCTGGCTACTCTCCCCAGTACTGATGGAAAAGCCACCTTCTGTACTCATTAATTTCTATTTACATATCCTAGTCCCCCAATGAAACTGCAGTAAAATCTAGCAGCAATATCTTTTACTCCTTGGAGGTAAGGATTTTTTGTTTCGGGGGATGTGAGGTATCTTTAATAAGTGGTTAGGAAATGGGAGCAAGACCCTGTATATGGTTGATGAGGAAATGTAATCTGTGTTCTACATCTTGTCCACCTCAGTAACCTGGGGTTCATTTAGCACCTCATTCAAACATAATTATTAAGAATATTCTACTATTCAAGTACTATTTAATATATTTAATGAACACTGTGATAAATTACTCCCCCTATATTTAAAGATTAATACAAGAACCATTAATTTAAGAATCCATATAAGAATATATTTAGCAAAAACATAATCAACACACAGCCCCTATATTTAATCATTAGTATAAGTATCTTTGAGTTCATCAGCCAAGGGAGAAACTCATGTAAAAAGCAAGACAATTTATTCAAGAAACAATAGCAGCTATAGGAGTCCTGGTTACACAGCCGTTTGACATTGGTTTACTAACCACAAGCTCAGCGGTTCAAATACATGAACTGTTCAGTGGGAAGAGTTATAGTCTCAGAAACCCTGTGAAGCAGTTCTACTCTGTCTCTGAGTTAAAATGGCCTCAATTCCATGGTAGTGGGTGTGGGGTCTGGAAAAAGCAAATGCTCTCAAGTAACAGGAAACTTTCATTCAGAAAAGGGATCCGGGGTATGAAACAGGGTAAGTGAGAGAAGAATCAGGAACATTCTACGTAGATAGGAATGCACGTGGAAAGGCTCAAAGGCAGTTTTCTGGGGAAGCAAATGGATACCTGTGGCAGAACACGAAGTCTAGATAGGGATGGAAAGAGAAGGGGGGCTTAGGGACCTTAGTAAGAAATGAGATTAGAAGAGTCAGCCTGGTCAGATCATAAACTACATTGTATATTATGCCAAGAAGATGGGGCCTGGTCCCAAGGGCATTGAAGCACGTTAAGAAAGAGAATCCCATTCAAGATATAGTTGGGAATTTGTAGAACACTACACTAGAAAAATGGACTGGGGATGGTGAGCCTGAAGCAAGGGGTATCAGTTAGGAGATGGCTGTAGTCATTGGTTCAAAGGAGCCTTAATGGCAATGTGGGGTATGCGTGAGACCCCAAGGTAGGTGGTCTAAACCCAATAGCCACTTCATGGGAGAAAGATGAGGCTGTTTGCTACCATAAAGATTTACGGTCTCAGAAATCCCGTAGAGGGTTTCTAGAACGTGCAATCAATGCCATGGCTGTGGGTTTGGTAGTAATCCAGGAAGGGATGGGGGTGGGGGAGAATCTCCAAGCAGGTTTACAGGATTGAGGAAGAGATACAGTCCAAACTGGGGCATCTTAAATAGGTTAAGTTAATAAGAAGTCACGCCCTCAGGAGGTAACTAAACTCACCAGACTTCACGCATCTAGCATTTTTAGTCACCATCCAAATAGACAATTATCTCTCTTCAGCTACACGCCTCTTAATGTTTATTTGTTCTTCCTCTTCTTGGAAGGAGCCCTGGTGGTTCTGGCAGTCACTCTGACAGAGACAGCCAGGGCTTTCTACTCCAGGAAAGGGCACAGTTCCTGAAACTCACGGGGCAGATCTACCGGGTCGCTATGAGTCAGCATTGACCTGATGGCAGTGAGTTTTTTTCCTCTTTTCTGATCCAACTTCCTACTCTCCACCATCTTCATTCTCTTACACGAGGACATTATTTTGTCTTCTATGAAACCCAAGGTACTCTTACACAAAGTTATTTGTTACATCTTTAATGTGTAGCATACTTCTTCCACATTCTTTACTACCTTGAATCCTGGCTGTTCCCTAAGAAAACTTAACTCTGCTGCCCTCTGATAAATTGTTGGGTTTTTTTTAAGAAAATTTTTTTACAAATATTTCATCTATTTATTAAAAAGAGCCACATTTTTTGAAGTCATCAAGCTATTAGCATTCCAAAGCTGCAGTAATTTCCGATTGCTGATACAATGCGTTTGGCGTTTTCCACACATCTGTTCCCACAATTATCAGAAAGCAGATACCACACAAGGACAATGCGCCACAATAATACATGCTGGAAAGGAAAGAAACTCCCGTTTCTGCTCCCACGATGATTCAGAAAACATCCACAATCAATGTAGGATTGCTCTCAGTGGGAATTGACTCTCTAACAGGAGTGGGTTGGGCCACTTTTCTGTCGGCTGAGAGATATAGGGTGTGACATTGGCATTCTCCTAGTCCCCCAGTAGCACTTGCCAATCTATTCTATATCTCTGTAACATTTTATACTTCTTGAGGCTATTTAATTCGTTAGTATTGCTCTTTCTCACCACTCCTCTGAAGGCACTTTCATGAGACTAAGATGTGTGTTACTGTGAGACCTTGTCTCAGTCAGTTCACCAGTAACAGAGACATATTCAAACATTTTATTTTTAATAAACCCAATGCATGTATGAACTTGAACCCTAATAGCAAGACGTTTTGAAACTTTCCCTCATGTAAGCACCTTATATGTCTTATTCCCCACTCTGTACCCAAGAGCTATCACAATGCCTGCCATAGAATAGGCATAGATAGAAATAGCTCATTCCCTCTCCCATAGTTCCTTCTATGTCAAGGAAACATTAGTGTAAGATACTTGGTCTTTCTTCTCTCCTCATTCTTTCTCCAAGGAGGATAAAAGACATAATCAATCAGAATATTAGCAAATGTTTCATGTTTTGGAAGACACAACAGACAATGTGGGTCTTCTCTATCCCACTGTCCCCTTGTCCTGCTTGGTGGGGTTTACTGGTTGGTCACGTGTTGTCTGTGACTGCAAATGTAATTTTGTCCTCTTTGGAGTTGGTATTTGGAAACCCACTGCCCGGAAACATATAGGCTACATATTTCAGTTTCTGCTTTATATAAATGAGGAGATCTTTTCACCCAAACAAACACCCTCTTTGTCAATTTTCAGTATCTTGGTGGGAAAGAGTGATATGTATTGGATTCCCTGAAAGACCATGTACCTAATAAAAAGTAAAATAAAGAGACAAGAGAAACAGGTAGGACTGGAGAGACAAGCCCAGAATGATCGCACTAATGGGTCTTCCTTTATATTTCAGAGCAGGGAAAACATGTTCTCTCTTAACAATATGTGACTAGCACATATTTCATGGTACAACTCATGAGTGAAATACTCTGAGATAATAAAATGTTTAACTCCTGCTGGCAGGGTGCTATAACATGATAGCGCCAGCAGTTCCCCACTGACCACATGAGTACTACAACATCTAGCTTTTGTGTAATTCCAGAAACAAAAGAAACCACAGCATGGATCTCTGGAACTCCACCTTGGGAAGTGGCTTCATCCTGATGGGGATTCTGAATAGCAGCGGGTCTTCTGAAGTGCTCTGTGCCACAATTGCAATCGTGTACACGCTGACCCTGACCAGCAATGGCCTTCTGCTCCTGGTCATCACAAAGGACGTCAGGCTTCACGTGCCCATGTACCTTCTGCTCAACCAGCTTTCTCTCATGGACCTTCTGTTTGCATCTGTGTTTACCCCCAAAACCCTGGTGGATTACCTGCGCGAGGAGAACACCATCTCCTTTGGGGGCTGTGCTTTTCAGATGTTTATGGTCCTCACCCTGGGTGGTGCAGAGGACCTTCTATTGGCCTTCATGGCCTATGACAGGTACGTGGCCATTTGTCATCCTCTGAACTATATGGTGTTTATGAGGCCCAGGGTCTGCTGGTTCATGGTGGCCACCTCCTGGACTCTGGCATCTCTGAATGCTCTGGTACATACCTCATACACTATGCACTTCCCTTTCTGCATGTCCCGGCAAATTGACCACCTGCTCTGTGAGATCCCACCTCTACTGAAGTTGGCTTGTGCTGATACCTCAAGATATGAGTTCATGGTGTATGTGATGGGTGTGACCTTTCTCCTGCCTCCCCTCGCTACGATCCTGGCCTCCTATACATTTGTCCTCATTGCTGTCCACCGCATGTCTTCAGGTGAGGGAAAGCAGAAAGCCCTCGTCACATGTTCTTCTCACTTGACTGTGGTAGGAATGTACTACGGGGCAGCCATGTTTATGTACATCTTGCCAAGTTCCTACCACCGTCCTCAGCAGGACAACATCCTCTCTGCATTTTATATGATTATTACTCCGACCCTGAACCCTCTTATCTATAGTCTGAGAAACAAGGAGGTGATGGGGGCCCTCCACAGGGTCTTCGGGAGATGTCACTCTTCGCAGATACGATAAATATTAATGTCCTGCAGAAGCTCTGTCTGCATATATGCGCTTTTCTTCCACATTTTCAGAATTCTGAACATCTTCCACATGAGGGATAAGGCCTACTTTGGCCTTAGAGGCATAGTTTTGTTTCTATCTGCTTTGTTTGTACAGTTAACAGAACATCCATTTTTCTGATCCATACATTCTCTTTGATTCTAATTGAGATAAGCTTATTTTTCACTTTACCTTTTCTTTCCTTCTTTGACAACAATCCTAACCCCAATCACACAAGATGTCATCATTTAAAATATTGATTATAGTTCCATTTGAAGAAAGAGAAAAGCAGAAATAAGATACTAAATAAAAATAATTATGTTATATTTTACTAGTTTGAAGTGATTTCTCAATTGTTCTATCTTTATTACTGTGAATACACAGCCATAGATTCTTTACTCTGAACAGATACAGCAAAGTCTATAGACCTCTTTATGCTGGTTTTCTCGTATGTGTCTTTACTTAAGGTCAACTCCTATTGTTCTAACAGACACCACTGTATCCTCAAATCACCAATGCTTCTGATAGAGAACTGGTTGGAGGTGCAAATGATGATTTTTCTGAGGATGTAAATGGACAGTTGTCCTTTTGCACTTTACTCTGCATGAAAAGTATAGGTGGCTTCTTGGACTAAAGCCTTCAAAATTTTTCTTTTTTAGGAAGGATTCAAAATTAGTGTAGATTCGTGGAATTCATTCTTTGGCTACCAAAAGAATTATGAAATGTCCCAAGGCATTGCACTAAGTGTAGAAGTAATAAAGTGAACTGTTCCTAAAAAGAACCCGAGGGAATGTCTTGTTTACTTCACCTTATCTTTAAAGCATTTCTTCGGGGAATGTTTCAATTCAGGATTGGTGCTTACAAAGTAAGTGCTTATATCAGCCCAGAAGACCTCCAGAGTGGATGGAATCTGCTCCAAAGATCAGTTCATGCCGAGCTGTCAGGAGAGAGGGTTGAGGATCAGTGAGCTTCAGATCTAGACTCTTTATCTACAGTGTGTATTTTTGGATCTCACTCCACTTCATTCCAGGTGAAATCTCCTCACTTGTACTTCCTCAACTCGAAGGAAACTCATCCCAGACTTACAGGTGAGAAGGAGGGAGATGCTGAAAAGATCAAGCCTCCCCACAGTCAGAAATCCTGAGTTGATCCTGGAAGAAAGTCCACATTCTTACATCCCACAGTCTATTTGGAAGAGGAAACTTTCCTTTTCCTCTTCTTTTCCATAAAAGAACCATAGTGACTCAAACTAGCTATCATTTTTCACTTATGAGAATCTCTCCTAGTCTGATCGTTAAACGCTTTCACCTTTAGTATTCTCTTCCTCTTTCACCGCCCTCGCACTCTTCCCTTGATGATACACACTGGGCTCACAGAAGACAGTCGGAGAGGCATGACCGGACTTATTGCTATTTATCCTATAGTGGTTGGTAGGTGGGAAGAAGCCAGGGCTGGATGAGTGAAAATGTTGTGTGTGTGGGTACTGCCTGCTCCAGTGCCCTAATATTCTGGGTGTGACCACGTGGAAACACCCTCCCTGGGGCTAAGAGTGGGGAGACAAAGGGGTTACAATTTGAGGACTGCTTTCTACTCAAAGAACTGCCCTGGTGCCCTCGTGCCTACACCAGTGCCCAGTTCCCATACCCACCTTGCATTTTTTCTTCTGCTTGGTCATGGAATCTACCCACTGCAAGGACGTTATCTACATGGCCCAGTGTTTGCTGTCATTCAGTTGGGAGGATTATTAATGCATAAGAGAGTTTTCATACATATGTATGATAGTGTCTTTGTGTGCATGTGTGTGCACAGGAACTGATTCATTCTGGGATGCATTCAGTCAGTCAACCATTCAGTCAGCGCAATTTGTTGAAAATTTGTTATTTACCCAGGGTAAAGTGGGTTTCTCATTAGTCAGAATTGATTCTCCAGCAACAACACAAATGTATAGAGGGAGATAGGGTTATTTCCTGAAGACGCACAGCCTTGTCAGAGGACAGGGTTGTAAACAAACAAATAACTATGCGAAGATTAATAAGTGTATATATGTACTTATATTTTACATATGCACCATAATTCACCAAATTGTTCATGTAAACTATGTACATTTCCTCACATTAAAAAACAGTGGAAATAAATTGCACAGTAAAAAGTCCTTCATGATTATTGAAGTATTGGATCAATAACATGTTATTTTATTGATGCCCATGGTATAGCCCAGCACACACACACATCACTCAGACACAGACACTTACATACCATTAAAATATTTTCTTCCAAAAATATTTTTATTATTATAAGAGATCATATTTTCTTTTCCATTTCAGTTTTTAAAAATACTGGTGGCAACCCAATCTGCTTGATCAGCAATGAATGAATTACAACTCAGTTTTAAAACTATTGGCACATAAGAAAAGATCATCCTGGCTATTGCTATCACAGACGTTTCCAGCAATCCTCTTGTGTATTCTCTGCACACTGAAGCTAATGAGAAGGGTTTTTTCCCCTTTGCTTATGCTAGTCTTTCGTAATAGTTCCTAACTCAGCTGTCTTGATCCCTCAGAGACAGTGGGTATTCTTGTAGCCTCAGGTTGGCCCCTGTTTCAGAGTGATCTTGAAATCAAATCATCCTCTGTGGCTCAGGAACCCGTGGTCCAGACACAATTGCTTTGTTCATTCTTCTTCTCTACTGCCAACTAGACACGGGATCTTTTGTATGAAGTAACCCTTAACTGTTTGCAATATTTAACTTCTCCCATTCAAGTTGGCACTGCCAAGAGAACTGAGTTTCTGCCATGAGTCCTCTTGCTTTTTTCTAATTGATGGTTCTTCAATTTTTTCCAAGGGAAATTAGACTGTAGCTTTGAGCTCTAACAATATGCCGGTGACCCTACCACTGTCCCTAATTTTTCCTAATCTACTTTTCCAATAGCTGCAGTTCTGTCACCTTATTCCTTGCATTTTGCCGAGGTTCAGCAATGTATCAGCGATGAATACTGTTTCTAGCCTGACTTTAGAGAACTGGACCAGCGATGGGATTTCCCATGGATTTACTGATCCAATTGATTGCATACTCTAATACAAACTGCGGCATAAATGAAGTTGAACACTGTTATGCCAGATAAGGCATTACAGATATGCTGAGAGCTGTTATGGATGCTAGGGTCTTCTAAGCATAAAGGGCCCCTCTAACCATAGAGTGCAATGTTGCCTGAGTCTGACCTTTTCGACATCCACTTGGATCCATGAAGATCAAGTGCTACCATGACTTACATTTGGATACTTCCACAAAGTCTTGACTCTCTAATCCAGTGAAGAATGTGAGAAAGGACTAGTACACCAGATTCTAACCTGGTCTGAAACAGTCTCAAAATTCCCTTCCTTGCTTGAAAAGATAAGGAATCACTTTGAATCACAATACGAAAACATCTTCATGTTAGTGACATGAAAGCTAAAGTCCTTTGCTTGAAAAACTGTCCAGAAAAAACCAACAAATTAAAAAGAACAACTCAGCCTTTCTAGTAAAATACAGACTGCTTAGGATTTTCTAGTCCGTTAGCATCTTGTTTCAGTTCAGATAGACACTATGCAATTTTCTATGAAGTAATTTCTTAACAGTTAAGATAGTGATCATTATCAGATCATAAACAGATAATATAGTGAACATAATCACGATATTACAGATCTGTGGTTGATAGCTCTCTGACAGCAAAGATCACAAGGGGGACGCATTCTTGGTGTTGCTGTGTCTACCAATCAGGTAGCTTCAATAGCTACACATGAATTTTTAGAAAATCAAGTACAGCAAATATAAATCTCCCCAAGAGACCTTTATTTTTAGGATTTGTTGCCGGATCATAGCCAACATTTGATTACTTTGTAATACTGATGTATAAGCAAGAATAAACATTAATGGGCAAAGAAAATCAAACCTATCTAACAGAATTTGTCTTGTTGGGCCTTTCTTTAGATCAGCAGACTCATATCCTATTATTTATGATATTTCTCATCATCTACCTACTGATTGCCTTTAGGAATCTGCGCATCATAGTCTTAATTCATACTGATTCTGGACTTCACACTCCCATGTACTTCTTCCTTAAGAACCTGTCTTTTGCTGACCTCTGTTTCTCTACAAGCATTGTTCCTCAGATGCTATTCCACTTTGTGGTAACCAGAAAGACAATTTCCTTTGCTGGATGCGCAATTCAGATGTTCTTTTTCTTAGTAGCTGGAGCTACAGAGAGTTCGCTATTGGCAGTGATGTCCTATGACCGTTATGTAGCTGTCTGCAAGCCCCTGCACTACTCCACCTTCATGACCCAGAGGGTTTGTATACAGTTGACCTTAGTGTCCTGGGCCAGCAGGTCATTTGTGTCTGTTGTAGATTCTGCATTTACTTTGTGTCTCCCATACCACGGAAAGAATATAATTAATCATTATTTCTGTGAGCCTCCTGCACTCTTGAAGCTGGCTTCTGCAGATACCTACAAAGCTGAGATGGCCCTCTTTTCTATGGGTGTGATTATTCTCCTGGTTCCTGTCTCTCTCATCCTCGTCTCCTACTGGAATATAATCTCCACTGTGATTCAGATGCAGTCAGGGGAGGGGAAGCTAAAAGTCTTCTCAACTTGTAGCTCCCATTTTGTTGTGGTTGTCTTTTTTTATGGATCAACATTATTCACTTACATGAGACCGAACTCCAAAAACATGTATGATGGGGATAAAGTGATCTCAGTGTTCTATTCTGTCATTAACATCCATGATGAACCTGTTCATTTACAGCCTGAGGAACAAGGATGTAAAGCAGGTATTCAGGAAAACATTTGGAAGATAGAGCTTCTCAGATGCGTCATCTTTATTTATATAAAATTGAGGAGAAGACATTCCAACTGGCTCAACACCTTTAAAAGGCAGCATTTAGGAAATTATTTGGAAGATGGAGCCTCTCAGACAATGCCTGAGCCTCTCAGACATTTATGCACAAATGGACATCATGCTTGGTAACATAGAGAGCTGGTAGAAAGAGTAAATCTCTTGATGACATGGATTGACACAGGGGCACTAACTATGAGCTCAAACATAACAACAATTGTGGGGATGGTATAGGACCTGGTAGTGTTTCATTCTCTTGTGCATAGGGTCACTATGAGTCAGAACTTGACGGCAGCTAACAGCATCAACCTTTCCCAGAATCAGACAATTGTGTGAAAAGTAGACAACTGGCCCAAGAACATAGTTCAAGACTCCAATGAAGTTGTTAAAATACTTGGTCCTAGGTAGGCAAGCGACCATCTAGCTCAGAAGCAACAAAGCCCACATGGAAGAAGGACAGCAGCCTGTGGGATCACAAGGTGCCAAAGGGATCAGTTATCAGGCACCAAAGAACAAAAAATCATATCATTGTGTGTTCACCTCCCTGAAATGATGACTGAAGACAAATGGGTACATAAGCAAATGTGGTGAAGAAAGCTGATGGTGCCCAGATATAAAAAAATATAGCATGTGTGGTCTTAAAGGCTTGAAGGTAAAGAAGTGGCTATATAGCTCAGAAGCAACAAAGCCCACATGGAAGAAAAATAACAGTCTGTGTGATCAAGAGGTGTTGAAGGGATCAGGTATCAGGCATCAAATAACAAAAAAATCATATCATTGTGTGCGGGGTGAGGACCCAAAGCCCATCTGTAGGCAACTGTACATCCCCTTACGGAAGGGTCGCAGAGAGGAGATGAGCCAGTCAGGGTGCAGTGTAGCAACAATGAAACATTCAACTTTCCTCTAGTTCCTAAATGCTTCTTCACACACCCCCGCCACCCACTATCATGATCCAAATTCTACCTAACAAATCTGGCTAGACCAGAGGATGCATAGTGGTACAGATAGGAACTGGAAACACAGGAAATCCAGGACAGATGATTCCTCCAGGACCAGTGCTGAGAGCGGCAATACTGAGAGGGTCGAGGGAGGGTATAAAAAGGGGGAACCAATTACAGGGATCTACATGTAACCTCCTTCCTGGGGGATGGACAACAGAAAAGTGGATGAAGGGAGACATCAGACAGTGTAAGATATGACAAAATAATAATTTACAAACTATTGAGGGTTCATAAGGGAAGAGCGAGCAGAGGGGGGGGGGAATGAGTTGATGTCAGGGGCTTACATGGAGAGCAAGTGTTTTGAGAATGATGAGGGTAACGAATGTACAAATGTGCTTCACACAATTGATGTATGTATGGATTGTGATAAGAGTTGTATGAGCCACCAATGAAATGAAAATTTTAAAAAATTAAATAAAAAACTTGGTCTTTTCTTCCTGCTGTTTATTATCATTGCTTTGTTTGGCAATGTTCTTTGTGTATTTTGTTTGTTGACTGTGAACCTAACCCTTGCAATTAATGCTAAACATTAACTGTCTTAGTTAAAATATTACAGTATTTTTTATTCTTAGTAGCCATAGTAGTATAGTGGGCTATGCATTTAGATGCTTACCACAAAGTCAGTAGTTCAAATCCACGAGCTGTTCCCTGAGAGAAAGATGAGACTGTCTACTTTCATAAAGATTTATCATCTTGGAAACCCCAAAGGAGCAGTTCCACCCTGTCCTATAAAGTTCCATGAGTCAGAACAGACGCAATGACAGTACATTCTTTTGGTTTGGTCTCAGTAATTTATTCTTTGTTATTGAAAATCCTGGTTGCCCATCTTTACTTTTTCTGGCCTGTTTTTTTTTTAACCCCCAACCATGAAGACCTTTTTAAGTCTTTTCTTATTACTCAGCACAACTTTCGTTAAGCCATGGCATAAGCATGCCTTTGTCAAGTTAGCTCAATGTGTTGATGGTCAGTTAATCTGATTGCTGGTTTTTCCATAAAATTCCTGACACTGTCCATGAAACTCAGATTCACTAGCTACCCCCTTATAGAAAAGTTGGCTAAAGATGTTGCTGATCCTACATCAACTCATTAACTGTTTAAACCCCATTGCTAACGTAGCTTTAAATAACATGCTGTCTTAATTTTGTTGCTTGCCAAGCATCGAGGAGGAGTAAGAGCCATTGCTAATTCCTCCTGTTGTACTTGAGTTCACACCTCTATAGGTGGTATGAACATAGGCTTTGGATTAGATCTAGTTTGTTAACAGTGCTTATTATACTTAGGGTGATTTTATTTGTAAACATTACATGTTTATAAATGTTATCACCAAACTCTTGACCCAGAGAGAGGGTTTCCTGGTGGCATAATAGTTGATTCTTTGCTAGGCTGTGGTCTAAATATTCGGCAGGTAGAAACCACCAGCAGCTCCGGAGGAGAAAAACTGGGCTTTCTACTTCCTTAAACAGCTACAATCTCAGAAGCCCACAGGAGGTTGCTATGTGTAAGCACTGATTGAAAGGCAGTGAGTTTGGTTTGGTTTTGACTTGGAGAATTAAAATGTTCCCAATGAAGCAATTCATGTACACAAATGACACCTATTCCATCTAAAGCAGTGGTTCTCAACCTTCCTAATGCTGCAACCCTTCAAGGCAGTTCCTCATGTGTGGTGACCCCCTAACCATAAAATTATTTTTGTTGCTATTTCATCACTTTAATTTTGCTACTTTTATGAATCAGGTGACCCCTGTGAAAGGGCCGTTCAACCCCTAAAGGGATCACAACCCACAGGCTGAGAACTGTAAAGGCTTCCTATTTACATAGCAACCACGTAGTTCCTCTCATGTGGCCCTGCTCCATACTGGCCTTTCCTGAAAGATCATTGAAGGATGATGCTAAATCTAGACAGAGTGAAGACAAAGGCTGATACCCTGTTACTCAAGACAAAATAGTGTTTGGGGTCTTAAAGAGGCCATGGAAAAGGAAATTAAGGTGAAACACCCATCCAGAAGAAAGCACAATTTGGATATCTGATGAAAAATTTTCATGGAAACTCTTGCTAAAATGGAAGAATTATATGAGAGTTTAAAATCTGATCTGTGTGATGCATGTGTAAATAGGGTCACCTGAAAGTAGAGCCTTAATTCTGTTTCAAGGTGCATGCAAGGGGGGCCTGTATTGCCTGGTCTGTTGCCAGATTACAGAAACCAAGTGGATTCAAAAGATTCCAAATTTTATTTTCATGTGCAAGGAAAAGAAGAGCATTTCTCCAAATATTCGTCTCTCCATCTCTTTGCTTTCCTCTCTCTCTCTCTCCCTTTCTCTCTCTCTCACACACACACACATACACACACAGTGAGTACTGAACAAAACCAGTTTTTAGTACACACAGATATATGTTGAGTGAAACAATTTTTTTCAGACAGGCACAAATCTTGGAAGGACAGGCACAACCTGGAAAAACAAGGTTTTGTTTGAACAACGATCTTGTTACAGAGCTTCCATTATTAGAGACCCTAAATCTTGAGGAGACAGTGTGGGTATGCAGGTTCTGGCTCTTAATGAATGGGGAGAGGAAGATTCATTGCAGGCCAATAAAAATTGAGTCTTTGACTTAGCTAGTATCCTTGCGGATGTGTGCCTGCACACAATCACAGAATACTCCATGAGACAAGTTAGAGGGGTTCAGTCTAGGGTCACAGTTTTGGCAGATTTCCAGTTAAATTCTGTCTCAACAAACTATATGATTCTCTTAAAGAAGATTCTTCTAAACTATGTCATATTTCCATCATAAAATAATAGGAGTAGACTCTTCAAGTTCCCTCTATCATGTCCCCACTGCTGATCTAAATTATTTCACATGTATGAGATCTGTTTAGGATGGAAATATTTGTGGTTGATGATCAGAAAGAACTCATTAGGGACTCAGTTATGTGGGAGCTTCACAATGGATCTAGAGTCTAGCTGTCATCATCTTTTAAAGTACTGAGAATTTAAGCTTGAAGACAATATCCCTCTGAGTGTGAATTGTACTGCTAATAATCATTTGACCACACAGACGGATGTGCTTCCGCTGTGTGGACTTCGGCTCAGCTGATGCTTCACTTCATGACTGCTTGTCTTGTACACGCCTTTAAGACCCCAGACACTATTCGTTCTGATAGCTGGGCCCCATCTGATTTCTCTGCCACACTTTGCCATGCATTCACATCTTAAGTAGTCCATGTACAAAGGGTTGCATATTGAGCAGGGCCACAGGATAAGAAAAAATTGTTCTTAGGCTAGGCCTTAGAACAAGTATAAGTTCAAGATTCATTCATACATCTAAGGCATACATCTACTTATGATCTGCTTTAGAAGCAGCATTATCAGCTTGAGAAACATTTTAAATAACTTCTATGGGACATTTGGCATTTTAAGAATAATATTAGTTTAGTCAATGGTATAGAATCTAAAAATCCTGTAAAGCCCTTTAGACTAAAATATACGAAAGTTCACGTATAGAGATTCAAAACTTAATTGGCAGAGTAATATTTAAGAAGACAGTAAGTGTAAGACACAAAGTACAGTGCAAAAGTATTTATCTGCAGAACTAAAACATGTCAGACAGCAAAGAAAACATGAAAATGGCAAATAGATGCCGTCTCAAGTTGTCAATCAACAGGCATTCCCAAAGCAATAGAGATCTGAACCAAAGTCCAATGACTTGGGATAGTAATCCTCTGCTTCTTCTCACACTAGAGTGTTTCAGTTTAAAGTTTAACGAGTGTTTCAGTTTCTTTTCATCTGCATCAGGTTTGTTAAAGGCCAAGTACAATTTACTCAGGGGGATCAAACTGGGTCTCTTTGATAGGACCTGTGAAGACAGCTGTATATCCCAAAAAACAAATCCCCCAAACTAGGCAGTCTACCACCTGAGGCCCAGATCACTAAAAGGCAGGACACAAATTCTGTCAGAAATCCCCCA